AAAAAAAAGAAAACTTAGCTCACACAACATTTCTCGCGATCAACGGTGAGTAGAAGGCGGCCATAGAAGAGGTCCAAGCTGAGCTAATTGAGCCTGGAGACAGCCTGAGCGTAAACATTAGGCACGCATGCCAGAATGGGTGGGGCATGTGGCGCTAACACAGCTACTACCAAAGAAATATGTGTGAAAACAGGACAGATGTAATAATAAAGAAAGAAGAATGAGTGGCTTGGCTAACGAAACATATCCTTGAATGAGTAATAGTTAAATGAAATTGAGCTGTTACGAAAGTTGACGGTTCTAAGCGATAATGTAGATGCTATTTGTTGACCGATTGATTGATTCATTGATGATTGAGTGTGCTTTGATCAGATCTCATTGGATGCTTGCTTGTCGGTCATTTAAAATAGTTTGCCGAAAATAAGACCGATAAGCAGTGCAGCTAGAAACAGCATTACCATCTGAAATTAAAAATACGCATTAATGTGTTGGTTCATTCTCATTCATCAATGATATCTCCCTATTACCCTATTAGCAATTATCTCAAAGTAATCGTGATCATCGATTCCAATATTCAAGTAGAAAGCACGCACCTGTTGTAGTAAGTGTCGAAAAGACCAACGACCAAAAATGCACATGTAAATACCGTTCAAAAAAAAATAAATTCAAAACCTAACAATCATTTTATTAGAATGAAATGAAAGTTTAGATTCCGTTCATGCAAATTTGGTCTAATGAAACTAAAACATTGAAAATGGCTGTGTTGAAAGATTTAAAAATCACTAACATGGAAAGCAGTGGGAGAGTACTCCGGAGAGTGTTCGTTCGAATGAGGCATATCTGCTAGATCTTCAATGCGATTCTGCAATTTAAAGAAATTAAACGAACCACAACAGTGGTCCTCATGCGGAGGCGACAAGGAATCCGAGGATGTCAAGAGGGGGGAGGGGAAGGGGGAGGAGAGAACCGGAGACAAGGAATACGCACTGAACTAGAAAAATCCTTCATGGAAAATGTAAAATTATCATCAAATACCAGATAATCAAATAAAAATGTGCAAAAGTTTTTCGAATTGAATAAATGAAAATGACTGAACCAACTAACCTTCAGAGACATAACTTGCTTTTGAAGTTCTTCAGCGTGTGAATCCACTTCTTTGCGTTTTTGGCGTTCACTTTCTAACTCCATCAATACCTCCCTCTGATTACAGAAATTAGTTTATTTCCATTCCATCAACTAGTCATTATCCTTATTAAAATTAAGCTGTAATTTTCAGAAGCATTCTGAAAATTGCCATTCGCCGATCAAAATTATGTGATTCTAATGGAATAAATCGTTATCATACCAGTTTAAGATCTGAGCTATGCGTCTTGTTCACATTCAACGGTGACGATATCGGTTCGGCTTCCGGATGGGGACATTCGTCGGAAGTCTTGAAAATGACTAATAGCTTTGAATCCATCAATTCCGATGGTTGCACCTTTTTCCAAATTGCATCTGTAACTCAACTCCGTACTTATTTCACCAACATCTTGCTATTACCGAGCAATTTATCTTTGTTGCGACTGCTCACTATATAACATTCTATGCAATACAGACAGATAGAATGTTACTGCACTACCCCACCGCAATACAAATCATTTTGATGCAACTAATAAAATGGCATAAAATAACTGCTAACCCAAAGACGATTCGCCGGATGGTGCGAATGCACTTTGCACCATGAACTTGTGCTTGACCGAATCAATCTCAGGCAAGCCATCACAGGGTTGTAACATTATCGAAACCGATATGTGAGAACCCGGGTCTAGAATTCCCGAATTTGGTCGAACACAATACTGCTTAGGTGCGGTCGTCTTGACCTGAACTTTAATTCCACATCAAACAAATAAGAAATTAAAAATTTGCGAGAAGACAAGGAATAAACAGGGGTAATTAAATAAGAGGATGAATTCAAACAAAAAAAAACTGCTGCATAAGTCTATAATCAAGCGCATAATGTGATCATCTATTCAACAAGGGCTCACGAAATCAAATTCGAATATTAATGATGGTACAGACAACACTTGTGTGAAACAAGCATGAAACAAACAATAGACAACTGCTGTATCAGGAAGCAAACCAATCACAGCACATACCTTGAAGCATACTGGACGAGTGGTTGGATTTTCCAGATTTAGTTCGCAAGTAACAACATCATTGAATGGACCTGAAATGATCGCAAACTTCATCGTTACATGAGATTCATTCACAAAACGAAGAAAAAAACAAATCACAATTTGAATTCCGGTGCACTCGAGTTCATTGAATAACTAAGAATTACTGCTTACTAATCGATTATTAACATGATCAGATAGTATTAAGTGAAACAAAAAACCTTTGAAAGTAAGGACGTCTGGAGGATCGATGTTCAGCACTTGTTGTGGACGCTTCCTCATTTCCAGTGGTTCAATATTGAGTTGCAGCCGTTGAATTAATTCGTATCGGGATATTCAATGTTGTGTCGTGATGCTTGCAGTCGCTGAACCAACTATTGCAACCCTTAATGAGCAATTTTTGTGGATATGAAAACATATGAGGATAAACATTAGCTAAGCAATAAAATAAATGAATCCACTAGCTAAAAGTATTGAAAATACTTACGAATACGCCAGGAACAATTTTTAAAAAAAACATGAGAAAAATAAGTTGGTGATGTGCAGTCGAGGAAATGGCACTGATGCTATTGGACTAGTTATAGGAAGTGGGACTGAAGTTACTGAAAAAAAAAGTTCAATATCGTATAACAGACGAATTGAAGCTTTTGGTTTTCAGATAAAGCACTCAACTTTGACTCTGTAAAAGCCTGACCGCCGAGGTGCCACTTACCTACAATTTCAGCAAGCTTGCTACGAACTAATATGGAGCTAAACATAATTAACATAAGTCAAAATGGTAAACTGTTCAAGATTGGCACAAAATGAACCAAGAACGTAACACGTCAAAATCGTTCAAAATGTGAAAATCACATTTCTATAAGATCAGCAATAAAAATTAATTAGGCTGTTTTTGACGAATTTCAAAGGCGACTGGTGATAAAACCAAATTAAAAACAAATGCACGTCTGCTGAGTCAACTGAGAACAATGAGCAAGTAAGGACAAAAGACACCAAGCTAGGATAACTCGTGTACTGGATCAGCACGACTAATCTCACAACATATTTAGCAACTCCTCACGAAAGTGCACTGTAGAGAATGATGAAGTCGTCAATCTTACAGGTAACTAGGATTGTTAGGTTGTGCTCGAACCCAGTTGTCAGGGTCACATTTATTCGTAGGCTTGCGCTAAGTTTTGTGCTTATGCCTACTCAGACAACTGGCCGAAATACACCGGGCGTACAGGATGGTTACCGGTGAGATCGGCTTCGTCGCAATTCGCCATATGAACGAGCCGTAGAGCAAGGGCGGAGTCAGCAAAGAGCATGCGCAAACACAGGACAACGTGCAATTGAGCATCAGAGCACCATCAAAATCTACAGCAGTGTCGGGGGAGGAGGATTGTTTTTAAGGATGATTCATTGCGGAATGATTGAAGTAATTACAACCACTTTGTAGCAAATAAAATTCTCTATCCAATTAGCTATTCTACTCTGAAAAATGTTCATTATGAGACAACTTGAGCGGATTCAAGCAATAAAATCTTGGGCCACAACAAGAGCCGAACATCGAAAGTATCCAATTTCAGATTGAACGAACTCTCATCGAGCAAGCAACTATTCACACCTATTAGTGCCGGAAAAATTTGTCAGAAGAGCTTCTATAGTATGTGAAAATGAGAAAGTTAGAACTGTATGTCCAATTTAAGATTAACGGAACCCGAGTGGACTGGCTATCATTTGGGGTTTTCACCTCGACCGACTTTTATAATTCATATTTCCAACAATTCCAGTTGTCCTTACTATTCATCAGATGGAACACCTAGAAGTTCCAGAATCGTAATGCTAATGCAGCGGAATCCTATCGATCTTTTCTATCAAGGTAACCTATTGCCATCACACCACTGTTAGTTTAGTTCACCAAATGTACTTCTGATACATGAAAGTAATTCAACGAATACACACTTGTTAGACAGCTGTGCATCCCTCGTAAACCTATCCTTAGCGCTTGTGTAATGTTTCTACAGAAAATTCACTCAGAGTTCTTGATACGCATTCTGAACTCGAACAACGAGCCAGAACAATGCGAAGGAAGCTGCACTGCGTAAAGAAGGACAAAACGCTCACGAAATATATACAGAAAGATGAGATTTTTCCCTCTAAATATCGCATTATTTATATTCCCATATTACTGTACAACAGTAATATGAGAAGTTGTATTTTGTCAAATTGATCTTTTTGACGTTCAATTTGATGAAACTTTGATAATTACTATTACAGGTGCGCTTGTCTGTTTTCAGGACTGTCTTTCCATTGGCTGTTTGGTGCGAGGTATTGCCATATTTCGATGAAGTATTAGCAGATGACGACAAATCGAGCTTTTGCAGCGAAAAACAATCTCATATGTAGTGCTGAGCGCAGTCTGGAAACTGATGTGAGGTCAT